AAATTCCTATGATCCCCTGCCTCCAACAGTTCCAGGGAACTCCTATCAGAATGAAAATCAAAGTCTTTTCTGTGGTCTACACATTCCACTGTCTTCACGTGGCTTCATCTATGATACCCTCCTGCCACAGTACCCACTTTGCTTCTGTGACACACTCCACAACCTACTTTCTCCACAACATCCTCCGCTGCTCTCCACTTGGTTCCCTCCCTTTATTCCTACCTCCCACTAAAGGCCACCTCTTCAGGAAGGCCTCCTTGACCCTCCATGGACAAGGCCACCTCTTCAGGAAGGCCTTCTTGACCCTCCATGGACAGTGGGTAGAAGTAACACTAAATAGAAAAGAGGCACCCCTTCTGGCACACTCAACAAGAAGAATGTGAGTGACAAGAAAGAATAATGAACCCAAAAATCTGTATAAACTTTTAAAAATATCTAAAACAACACAATAATAGTCTTAATTCATGTTAAGGGTAAAACTCAATTTAGAATTAAAATTCTGGCAGAAACTAGCACAATGGAGTAAAAGATGGATAGGTATGCCAATTCATCTTGTCAAGACACTCATGGGGAAGTCATGGGGGCACTGCACTCTTCAGTGCATGAATCCACTAATTTCCACAGTTGTGTGTGTTAGGAGGTGGGCCCCGGATGGAGGTGTCTTTGGAAGGTACATCCCTTGTGGTGCTCTTCTCCCATGCTCCACTTCCTGGCTGCCATGAGGTGCTCAGATTTGTTACTCCACTCCATTCCACCACGATGTTCTGCCTTACCCCAGAACCACAGCAATGGAACCAGCTGACCATGGACTGAAGCCTCTGAAACTTTGAACCTTATAAACACTTCTCCCTTAACTTTGCACGTATCAAGTATTTTCTCCCAGCAATGGGAAAATTGAGCAATACATGCACATACACAGGAGAGGGAGAAAGAATGTCCAAGGAAATGTGGCAAAAAGTTAGAAACTAGTGATTCTGGGTACTGAGAAAGTAAGAGTTCTTTGTACATTTCTGGGACTTTCCTGTAAGTTTGATCTTTCTTTAAAATAAACAGATAAAAAGTTTCAAAGTTTAGAGCACTAATTAAAATTAGAGCAAATAAAAACTAAAAAAGTTGAACTGTGCAGAGTTTGTCCTACTAGAACACACAGTAATTGGAGGAAATGTTCTTCTCAATATACACAGAACCAGGACACTTAAAATAAAAAGAAATAGAAATCACCTAACCATGTTTCCAGAATACAATATACATATTGAGTATCAATATAAAAAATATAAATGAATGAAATGAAATACAGAGGGGAATGTCACATGAAGATTTGTTTCCACCATCACACAAATTATGGCATAAATATTTTATTTTTTAGAGCACCTGATCACATTATGACCCAACATCTTAGTCTCTGAAAGACATCCCAGAGGTGCCTTTACCCATTCTGGGTATTTCAGTGCAACACCAGCCTGGCTTTACAGTCCCATCTGGATGGATTAGCCACATTTCCCAGAGAAAAAGCAATCATCAATCATCTAATTGTGATAAACTAGAATAGGAAATGAACTTAGCTTCATTTACAGACTGTCTGTATAACCAAATACAGAACACTTTTATGGTTTAAAGGTATGCAAACAAAGCAATGATCTTTGTTAACTTAAACAAGCAAATCATCAATTGTACATGATTCAAGAGTCCAGTGCTATGAGCACACTGTCATCTGGTGGTTACTTGCAGCCCTACCCCTGGTGCTACTCCTGTGGAGGGCACCTTTACCATTTCACCCTCCTGTGGCTTGGAAATTGGCTCTGAAGACAATTTTAAAACTGTGTGCAGGAGTCCAAAAGGGGGTTCAGTGATGTTATGTAAGCAATGTCCCACATCTATGGGTCAGCCCATGCAGGCCCATTTTCAGACTGACTCCACATAGGAAGTGGCACTTTCTCTCTGCAAAACAAAATTCAAACTATTTCTATTAACACAAATCAGGCAGATATCTATACACATATGCAGAATCCAGATGGATGATGTTTTTCCCCAAGAAAGCAGACATTTGGGCAGACACAAAGAAGCAAGACTGTAGACAGTTAAGCAGACTTTGGCCATTCCATTTCCTACTGCAAAGAATTTTTGCACAGCATATTGAAGTTGGCAAACTTCCTTTATAATTACTAAAAACTCTTAGTAAAATGCAAATTTTGGGGTACTGCAGAGAGTAAAAAGAGGTCAACACTCACAGCTAAGGCCTTGGTCAAGAAGCTGGGATAAGGGATGAGCTCCCAAGAAGCTCAGGAATAACTTGGCTGGGACAACAAAAGCAACTAAAATAGGTTGAGTTCTGAGCCACTATGTATCAATCATGGACACCTTCTTGGACCAGAAGATTAGAAATTCCTGCCTCAGAAATTCCTGAGCTTACATAGATACAGAGATGTAGGTTAAACAGATGGCAAAGTGAGTCCATTGTTGAACCTTTACAGACCCATATTAGAAATCAATAATAATACTTCCTAGTTACTGAGCCTCTGTACATGTTTCCAAAGCTTTGCCAAGGCATATGTTAGCCATCAGCCTTGAGAAAGGCACTCGAGAAAGCCCATGAATATAGTCATGGCGTGGTGCTTCCTACCTCAAAAACTCCCAGCACCTTCAGAATCTTACAGAATAGGGTGGTAAAACCTCACATACTCGAGCAATTTCCAACCAGTCTAGTCATGGGACATGCTTGCTGTCATTCTGCATTGGTTATGACAGTTTTGGGAAACATGCCATAGCTTCCATGCCAGAGCACCATCCACTGTCAGCCCAGAAATGGTCACCTCAGAGAGACCTGCTCTAACAGCTATGTTCTTGGACTCCATACAGCAGTCCACAGACCGTAGAACCTCCCTGATGCCCCTGGGCACCTTCAGTGGTGCCCCAGGGGCTGGTCCCCTGACTCACTCACTGTCTACAATGAAACTCAGGCCATCAGAGCAGCCTCCTTGGGTCAGGATAGTGGAGGTCAGATGGCTGAGCCCATGGGTCAGCACTTCTCTAAATTTATCCCCTATACAGTAGCTTCCTGCTGGATGAAGTACCCCATCACCACCAATTTTACTACTACACCAAAAAGAACAGCTTGATTTTTGCATACACAATCTGGTCTTAGGTTTTTGTTTTTATTGTGTTTTATAATTTTGGCTAGGTTTCTTAAACTAGAAGAGGAAAACTAAAAACTGAAATCCACAATAATACACAGCACCCACTTTTTGGAACCTCTTACAGTCTAGCTTACATGAAAGACCTTACAGGACTTGTAACTGCAGGAGAGCTCACCTAAATCTCTCCACTTTCTGATCAGAACATGTGCTTTCTGATGGCAAACCTCAACCTTCAGGCCCGTGGATTTCCAGAAGCAGGTGCCAAGTGTGGTGACCTTTCAGTTAGGAGGGGCCAGTACTGCTTCTCAGGAAAATTTCTGGGAAGGGGCAGACTTCCTGACTTGAACTCCAGCCTTCACTCTTGAGTCTGTACTTCCCACAGCCTATGCTTGCTGGGGACAGTCTGGCAAAGATCAGTATGGCCTGGAAGTGACCACAAGATGTTCTTCCCTGGGTGGAAGCCTCAGAAGACATTTGGCTCAATAGTTAGGGGATGGCTCACTGCAGATATGACCCTAGCATACAGTCTTCCGATCACTCAGCCCAGGGTTCAGGGATGGTTAGTTTCAACATAGGGGCAGCTACTGAGGAAGACTGAGATGCCAGTCCCCCGTATGATGGTCATGACTGCAGAGACACTGAAACAGTAGGAATGCCACCCATGTTTATCCATGTGCTTTTTGTAAATGCGCTCTAGAACAAAACACCCCAAATTTCAGGGAAGCTGTAATGCTAATGATCCTGACTACAGTGTCCCCTCAATGGGAGATTGTCGGTAAGTCTGTACCAGCCAGAGAACTGGAGTCTTTGGATGAAGACACCCAAATCATTAATATGAAAAAATGGAAATTAAAAGTAATGAGAGATAAAATTAACCCACGATAAGGTGAAACAAATTCACAAAGCCTGAAAACTCTGAGCTTACCCAGAAGGTGGCCTTTTAGGATCCAGGCAGAACTTCAGAGAGGAACTCAGCAGCTTGTTAAGGCAATGATCTGACCACACTAGGAAAACAGTAGCATACTGCCTCAAAGTTGTGATCCTTCTGCCTCAGCCTTCTGAGAAGCTGATTACTTGTGTGTACCCATGCACACAGTATATATATAGTTTTAATAAGTCCATAAAATTTTCTGGAAATCGCATTTTCATTCCAAACTAAAATTAAGTAAATCTCAAAAGAAAACTGCATTGGTAAGCAGATAGGATTTTATGAGGGGGCATACTTAGGAAACACACACTGTGTGACTCCCACAACCTCATACAGGCTGCAGGGAGCCTAGAGACCCTTCTTACCTGGTCAACAGGCATCAACAAGGAATGCCCAGTGACATCCCTTCCGCTCACAGAACGGTGGCTCTTAGCTGTGCAGGTGGCATTCCAGAGTGACTATCTGGGGGAATTCTCAGTCTGGGGAAGCTGGCGTTCTTGCCCACATTAGCCACCAAGTTAGAAAGTATTTCTTGATCAGCTGAAGTGGTGTTTTGAAGGGGGTGACCGTGAGAGTGAGTGGGGGGCCATTTGTCTGATGCTGCTACTGTATTTGCCCGTGCCAGCCAGCAGAGCCAAACCACAGCACACCCCTGTCTGTGGCAGTCTGGGGCTTTGGGGAGGCCAACAGGACTTGGGGTGCTCATAGATCTGCACTAAGGAGCGGCCTGTAGCTACAGACAGAATTCAGGAGAAAACACACAGTGGGTTTTCACTAAGCAGTTTAAGGTCTGAATTATAGTATATGGACAATTGTTGCCCTGGAGAGCTTACCTAAAAGGTTCCCTATCTGTTCAGCCTAACGTTTCCATAGCACCTTGTAGGGCACATGCACACAGAAGCCGCTTAACCATGCAAGCTCAGGGTGACTCCACTCACCAGTCCGCTTACTAGGAAACTGTACGGTTTCCACACCATCAGGGTAGGTCGTGTATGTTGTCTGAGCAGCCGAGAAGTAATAAATCTGTAAGGGCCAGAAAGACCTGTGTTGGGCGGCAGTTTGCCTTATAGATGGACCTGTACTTAACCTGGTAAAGCACTTCCTGAGGTAACTGAGGGGACCAGTTGGCAGGTGGGCCTAACCATAGCCATGGGTGCATCCATAGCCATGGGACACAAGAAGAGGAGCTGACCACCAACACCCCAGGAATGACGGCCCTGGACTGTTAGTTAGTGGGAGAAATTACAGGACACAGTCCAGCTCTCAGTCCTGCACCTGGGCAGGCAGGCTAAACCCTGAGCCCGTGGGCTTTGGCACCTTGGGGCCAGCAGCTGGCTACATTCTGACTGATGGACATGACCCATGAGACCCACCACCGTGAAACTCCCAGCTCTCAGACCCAGGGCCTACTGGCAGCTCCAAGAGAAGAAACAGGTGCCACTGCATGGGACATGCATGCAACCACGCTTGAGAACCGCCACCAGATGGTAACATTTCCAACAGCCATGTGGTCTCCTCTCCTCACGTTTGCCACTTGTCTGAAATCACACGGAGCGGGAGCACTCCCTCCTCCACCAGGGCAGCTCGCCTTCCTCTGCAGACCTGAGGCTTGCACTGGAGCAGCAGCACCAGGAAGGGGGAAGGTTCTAGGCCAGGCATCTGCTCACCCACCTCTGGGTACTTTTCACTTCAGCAGAGCAAAGGTCTGAGCAGGGGTATTTCCTCCCTCACCCTGCCCAGGGTTTTGTTCTCTTCTGCTATCCCATCTTGACCTCAGCTCATGGATTCTGAGATTTTGCACTCTATACACCTACATTTGCCACTCTTGCATCCCTAAGCCTAGCTAGGAAATGATTCTCTGTTACTCCAAGGTGAGGAAAAGCTGACCCCAAGTCCATAGGTGGAGAAAGCAGTGAGCGCCATGCCACACGTGGCTCCAGTGGGCTGTAATGGAACAGAAGCCATCGTTTAAAGGGTTGTCCATGCTCCTGCCTCATTTACATTTCCGAGCAAAATCAGGGGCCTTGTGGGTAACTGGGCCAACAGAAGAGCACTGGCAGCCGGGTGTAGCCCTGTCTATACCCCGGGATACTGACATCACCATGGGACAGTCAGAAGGCTTCAATGGTGGTAAAATTACCGACCAACATGCATATAGATATTTCTCATTAAAACAAGTGAAACAGCTGGGTGCAGGCACATGAGCCCATAATTCCAGTACTTTGGGAGGCTGAGGTAAGAGAACGGCAAGTTTGGCTCCAACATGGGCAACTAAGCCACTTAGTGAGATTCCATCTCAAAATAAAAAATAACAAACAAAGGCTTGGGATGTAGCTCAGGGCAAAGCTCCTGGGTTCAGCTTCTACTGCTGGAGAAAAAAGAATAAAACAGACACAAAATTGGAGGAGCTCTGCAATGGCTCGGCTCAGTGCATATCCTGGAGCCAGTGAAAACAGTGAAGTGGACCATCCAGAGAAGAAAAGCAGAAAAATACAGTCTGGTGATGTTTTGTTCTAAGAGACTGTTCTCAGGCCACAACAAGCTGCTCCCTTGTCTCCAGGCTGGATTTACCATAAGTATTTGCCCATTATCCAGATTTGTGTAAATTGTCACATCCCAAATTACCTGGAGAATTGCCACCCTGTAGGTCTTGCTTATGAAAGATTTGGAACTTCCAAAGTTTGGGGAACCTACTTGCCCACCTATGTGTTTCTATCACAAAATGCACAGCCTGTCCCATTGGGTTGGAACCATAATCTTGGCTCCCTAACATCAAGAAACCTTAGCTACCACAATCTGCTATCTTCCATGTATATACCCTCTGCCTTTCCCACTGTGAGCCGTGGAGTGACAACTGTCTACGTAACATGAATTTATAATGACGCACTGGGTCTTCCAACCTTGGTACCATTGACAAGACTGGAAAATTCCATGTTGCGAGGAGGCAGATTTCTCCTGTGTACTGGATACATTCAGCAGTATCCCTGTCCCCAACCTGCTGAATTGTAGCTGCACTCCCAACACTCACAACAATAAAAACCAAAACTATCCTGAGACATTGCACATGTCCCAGGTAGGGGACACAATTGCTCCTAGCCAGTCTCATAGCAGATATGACCTGGTTTTATTAGATGCAGATGCTGAGAGTTATCAATTTGCTGTCAGCACAGCTGGCCTGACAGTGCTATGACAAAGCATCTATCTTGGGGTTCTCAAACCCAAACTTTCTGCTCCATGTAGATGGCAGATGCTGGTGCCTTCTCCCCAGCTGTGTAAACACTGGGAGACCCAGGGTGAGTGACAGCCACTGGGGCCAGCTGTCCTCCAGTTTGTACAAGTGTTGGCTCTTGGCCCCACCTCATGTTATTGCAATGCTAATGTGGATTCTGTGATTCATGCTCATTTATGGAGTGCTCATCCTCAGGTTTCTGCAGCAGTAGGGGCATGAATTAATGCACTGGGTCCTGTAATCTTTGTGACCATCTTTTGCGTTGGATTACAAAGCACATGTTACAGAGGATTAAAACAACTCCTACATGAGAGCTCACAGTGGAGATAGGGGTAGTAGCTAGTCTTACTGACATGGAAATCTGAAGTTTGAGAGACTAGGAAGAATCTTACTTGCCCAAGTTCACCATGGAGAGAGGATCACCCTTTTTCCAAAGAACATCTGATTCTAAAGCCTATGTTCTGTCCTTTTCCCTTCCCTCACCCACAAATGTTCAGATAATAAAATGGTACCATATGCAGAGTGTTCCCTAGTAACCAAATTCGTTTTGATTCTTTAAAAAGACAAATAGACTCAGTATACTCACCACTCGCTGATCAGGCTTGATCTTCTTCACGTCGCCATTATAGAACTTGATGACGGTCGTCTTCTTGTCAGCGCTGGTCTCCTTCCTGGTGCCATTGGGGAAGGTGACGATCATGCGACCATCGCTGAGTATATGCTCCACCTTCATGGAGACACAAAAGTTCTGAGATGAAAGTTGTGCAATTATATAAAGCTTCACTATTTTCCTTCCACTCAAAATCATTCTGTGCTTACTTCCTGCATGGTACCGTTCATACCAATTGCTGCATTTCCACCAAAAAAAAAAAAAAAAAGAAAAAAAATCACTAAATCCTTCAGTTCCAAAACTCCATCCCCCAATTTGTTTTGAATAATAAATAGATTTGTTCCATAAATGTCTTTTTTATAAGGTCACATTACACATTTGCTATCAGTCTGGGTAATTTGTGATCTTAGTGAATTTGGAATCCTGGGCTATATAAAATGCATAATTACTATGCAAAAGCTCTCTATGATAGATTTCTTGCCCTTTCTGACCCATCTTTTTGACTTACACAGTACTCTACTCTGTCCCAAACATTCACTGATATCAATTAACAATCAGCAACTATGGAATTTCACATGCATCATAAGAAAAAAAATTTAGAAAAGAATATCTTTGTCTTCAAATAAACAATATTAGTCATGCCTGGTACGTGCAAGACTCTAAATTCGAGTCCCAGTACCAAAAACTATGTATCAGCCATGAAAAGATGAGCATGAGGAAAGAACTGACAGAAATAACCTCACTGTTTTGGGAGTTAATACATGCGCATGTGGAAATTAGCAAAATGTATTTTGTTAATTATACACACTGCTATTTCTTTTTTTAATGAATTGTTGCCATAACTTAATGTGGCAATATGATTTTCTACACATTGTTATTTCTTGATACACCTAGGAAATCTAGGAGTTCATTCATCTGAGATAAAAGCAATGCTTTGTTTATGAACCACCTTCAGCAGGCCAACAAAATTTGATGATGTGTGCCCCCTGCTGGCCAATTCCACACCATCCAATTTGTCAGGCTTGACAGAAAATTGCTCATTTTCTTGCTCTTAACCAATCAGGTGGATAGAGCAGGTTGTACGCAGTTCAATATTAGAAGATGAATTCTTACCCAAGAGAAATTCCAACAAGGCTCAAAGAACCAATTATGTCTTGGAAATGAAACACACATACACACACACGTTTGAAATGTTCCAATGTGGAAAAATTCATAAAATCATTAGAGTTATGTAAGTCAATTACATAAATGTTTTGGTCAACAACAAGCTGCAAATACAACATGGGTCACATAACTTTATAACAGAATCAAGAAATTTCCATCACCCGATGACACTGTAGCCATCGTAACCCAGGGAAATTGGTCCCCCTTTTATGTGCAGTGATACTGGTGTAAACACAACTGCTGCACTGCCAATCATGCCAAAGTGCAGCCCATACAACACATAAATGACACGGTACTTCATAATGCTAAAATGATCATGTTACGGGTTCATATTTTTTTGTTTGTTTGTTTGTTTTCCAGTACCAGGGATCGAACTCATGACCTTGCGCTTGCCGGGCAGGTGCTGTGCTGCTGGGCTAAATCCCCAGCCCCTGGGTTCATATATTTATATAGTAGACTTTCAGTCATTATTTTAGAGTGTACTACTGCTTTTTTTTTAAAGTGATAAAAAAAACTCTGTGTTACTCCATCAGCAGCCCTGTGCATCTTGTGTTTATACCCTTTCATGATCACACATCAAGGGCAGTGTGATTGCTCCCAGATCCACATGGTAGTGAAATCTCCTAAAGACCATCTGTAAGTGATGCAAGGCTATAGACGACTTTTTGTATTTTGTATGATATAAAATATAAGAGACAAGAAAAGAGTTTCAGCACATCTAAAGGAAGACACAAGAAGCAGAGGACACAGATGAGAGGTCAGAATAGGTAGTAAAGTACCAGGGACCTGAGACAGAGGGGCAGCCCGGAACACGGGCACACAGTAGATGTCCTGCACTGCAGGAAGAGGAGGCTCAGGTTAGAAGAGTGTAGAATAGGCTTCCTGATTCTTGCATCCACACCTTTGCACTTCCCATTGAGTAACTGATTCATCCTGTACTATTGACAAATTAGCAGCGTCACCTACTGCTGAGCCAGGACAAGGAATATGGAGTGGGGTCCTTTCCCCTGACAGCCCTGTGCAACAACTGCAGAGAAGAACATCTTGATGAACTCTCCCTTATCTGAAAGTCTTATCCACTTATAAGGGCAGAACTTCTCCTTCATTTAGATCAGAGTCCACTCAACAAAAGCAGAACAAGGATGTCCTCTAGTCTCTCCAGCCATCAGAAAAGGTAGGGTCACTGAGTTGATCAGAGAGCTGGCCCATCACTGCTCCGCAAGGACCCACAAACTGCCTCATGCACCACAGCAGCTCATGCATCTCTTCCAGATCCTCCTGAATCAAGGACAACAGCCACTAGAATAGGTCCTTCAAGATGGAGGTCCTTCAAGATGGAGACACTTGGGGAGACAGAGGCAAATTTTCCTCTCACAGAGAATGTTGCTGTATCTAATTCTTGCAGTTGCTTTCTGGCCTCTGAGTGGGAATCCCAGCACAGCCTGCGTAAAAAGCGAGCAGAGCAAGAGCCACAGCTGGGGAAGAAGCAATGCTGCAGATTCCTACCTTGCCGTCTACATGTTCTTTCTCTTGTGTTCCCCGCTTCTCTGTGGTGGTGTCCAGAAGGCACCCTGCTTCTTGGGAAGGTCCTGGCTTTGTGGGAAGATTCTGCAGAAAGAGTATAATTGTGGCCTTTGTGAATGTTGCAGGGACAGTTAGCTTTCCATATTCTATGTTTGTTTTTTGCTAGGCTGGGAAGGAACGCGGTGCCCTGGACATGCTAGACATGTGCACTACCCCTGAGCAATGCCCCAATCCATTCTATGTTTTAGGAAGGTATTTCTCCCACTTGTTTTCTTGGTCATGGCCAGGATGACCATGGCAACAACTACTGCACCCAGAACTTTGTTCTGAAATGCACATCACCAAGGCCTTGAGTTGAACCCATTAATGGCTAGAGTCCAAAAAATTAAAGTCCAGAGACAAAGGTCACCACCATCCCTTCAAAGATGGGGTTGGAAAGGGCACAGTGGATGGATGACGCAGACTTTGCAGAGAGCAGAAATCAAGTGGGGCCCTGCTAGACATTTCCTCACAGCCACCTACTTTTACATCTTCAGTGTGCTATAAAAATTCCCTCCAGGGAGAAAACTTTTCCCATTCCATTGGAATTTTTTAATTAAATACAGTATATTATAAGTAGACCAGTAGCAATAGTTTAAGAGTATTTCTGCTATATTTGCTTTTGGTTCCACTCATTTCCATTCAGGAGTATAAATAAATGCAACAAAATTTTGACTTGGGGAACTCTTAAATCAGGAAAAACACCAATCTGGTTTTGGCTATGTGCTAAATGCAACTAACTTAAATCTACAAGAAAAGAAAATGCTCTGTCTGTGTGAAAAGCTGAATGAGCTTGGAGAATAAGGAGGCATTTGGATTCATCTTAGTGTTCTACATCCATCAGGAAGACACAATGGTGCCACCATCACTGGCTACCACCTGCAGGGACCCCAAGCCACCTCCATGGGGTGAATCAACCCCACCTACCTGCTGCCATCCAGTGTCTGCAGAGAAGCAAGGGAGCTTCCTGGCTGGACCTTGGCAGGGAATCCTGGCCTTAAAACTCTCTGGGACCAAAGAACACATGTCTGAAAGAGGAGAAAAGTACCTGTCAAAGGACAGTGGATAAGATGCTGAAAATATCACTACCCCTATGCTGTTTGTAAATCTGATCTAGCTAGGAATATGTTCTCTTTTTTTATGAGATTACAAGTGCCAGGTTGGTCCCACCCACAGTGTATCAAGTAGGAAGTAGGTGCTGTGAGTGAGTACATTTGATCCATATCTCTGGCCATCTATCCTTTTTGAGTATAGGACGGCTCCAGAGCATGACAGGGAGGTGCAATTGCTCTCCATGAAGCTGCTTTCATCCTGTGGGGGGCAGACACAGGAGAGGGAGACAGGACCCCAGTGAGAACCAGCCCACTGGACAAAGGAAAGGAGACAGGGGCCATGGGGAAGTAGGGCCACGGGCTTTCAGGAGGGCCTGGGGGAAGCCATGGAGTATCACCAACATGCGAGGTAGGTCAGGGGGATGCAGAGATGGCAGCAGGAACCAGGCACAACAGGTTAACTGAAGCCTTGTTGTGGAAAGCAAGGGCTCAGCAGAAGGGCAAGGTGGCCGAGCCATTGACTATAACTTGGCAGGCAGTCTACACTGAGAGGAGTGTAGTATAGTGTAATGTAGTGTAGTGTAGTGTAGTGTAGCATAGTTTAGGGAAGCCAGGGAATAAAGGTGTCAGTCTGTGTGAGAATCTCCTGTTAGAGGGTCAGAAGCATCTAGAAGAACCAGCAGCTGGACTGGGCTGAGCAAGGGAAGATGTGGCGGGTGCATCGAGGCAGACAGAGAGTATCCAACTCAGGAATCAACAAAGAGCAGCTGGGCATTAAGAAGCTCCAAGGACTACACATGCTTGCCACGGTGCAGCTTCCTGTGCACATCTCTGTGTCACAAACGCACGCACATCAAAGCGAGCCGAGGAAGCGCAAGCTCACGTGCACTCACCCTTCTTGTGGGCTGGTGCCTTCTTCTCCTGCAGCAGGACGTTAGAGCATGGTGCTGGTGATTTCCTGCCACTACCTTCTCGCAGAACTCGGGAAGGCTTGTGCACACCCTGGGGACAAGGACAGTCACGGAACTTGCATGTTGCCTCCACAGAGACGGGGTGCTGCTCACAGTGAATTTAGCACCAAACCCTTCAGTACCACTAGAACTCCACCACAAGCTCTATGTCAATACAGAGCTAAGCCAATTTTTAAAAAAAGGGAGAAAAAAATCCCAAGTATAGAGCATGGTATAGTAAGTGTTATTTTTTCTTTTTGTGGTACTGGGGGTTGAACTCAGGGTCCTTACACTGAGCTACATTCCAAGCCCATTTTGTACTTTTAACTTTCAGACAGGGTCTCACTAAGTCACCAAATTGTCACTAGGTCACTGTATTCAAGTTTGTGATCTTCCTGCCTCAGCCTCCCAGAGTGCTGGATTACAGGTATACACCACCATACCCAACTGGGTTTTTGAGCATTATAGGTAATTAGTTCACTTTTTATCTTTAAAGACATGTCTAGAGAAATTAAATTTTTTGTCTATAAAAACATAATTATTTTAAGTTGCTGGGTCCACTTGAACAAGTTGAGACTTCTTTTTAGACTTAAACGGAATGCTCTCTGTAGAAGTCCACACACTAGCCAATTGCACCCCTGGAGCTCCTTGAAGAAAGTTATCTAAACCGGTATGAAGCAGCACCAGTTTCCAAGGTCACTTTTCCACCGCCAGTCTTTCTCCCGAAGAACTTGACCTCCTGTGGGTGCTGTACTGTAAAGATTTCTGGAAGGGGTTGTATTTCTGTCTTTCTATAATGTTATTTTCTCTGAGTCAATTCTTTCTGCCTTTACCCTTGTTGGCTAAAAATAAATGTAGAGGTATTTTTGCATTAAGAGCATCATTAAGACCCAAAATGTGGATCAGTGCACCATGCTGGTTATCATGTAGCCTAGATGACGGTGACCCTGTTTGTGTGCCTGCAGAGGGGCAGAGAAAGGGCAGCTACTCTGGGGTCAACCCATTTCCTGTTATAAAACCTATGGTCTCCTGGAATTCAGGAACTTCATGATAGGGTAGACAGGTTAGGCACCGTAGTGAAATAAAGTGCTTGCAACTGAATTTCACACAGTATAATGCAAATTGTTTTCTACCCTTTGCGCTACTCAAAACTTGGTGGCTCGGAGGTGTGGACTAGCCCCTCGTTCAGTTATTCTTTCACTCACACACACATTCAATAGGCAATCTAACCTCATCTGCCTAATGAATCCCATTCAGTGTGGGAAGGAGAAAAGCCTGCATTCTCAAAAGAAGCCAGGAAAGCACAGTCTCTCCTGGAGCTTTAGATGCTGCATCATCAAAAGATCCGAAAGGATGGGTACAAATGTTTGGACTGGGAGAGTTCAGATCCTGCTCAGGGAGTCAGGTGTTTCCTATGACCCCACCATGCTGAGAGGGTCTGTTGGGACAGAGTCACCTTCTGGAGATAGGGACTCTCCATGCACTTCAGCTCCATTTTCCATTTCCTGACTAGAACACACAAAATTTGTTTTCCAAGGATGAGGTTGACACAGCAGAGAAGGTAACATCTATGCTCATACAGGAGTGCTCTCCAGAGGGGCTCCTTTTCACAGGTAAAATTGCAACAGAAATAAATAACATCTTGCACTGCAACCCCCAGACAAAATGCATAACCACCACATAGACGAGCCCCTGCCCTAAACAGCAGTCATGAAACACAGCATGACACAAAAAACACATCTAGACATTTGACCAAAGAGCTTAATGGCAATGTAGGGTGCTGCCAATGAAGATACTCTCTCGGGCTGTGCTCATAGGAAGGCCCTCCTTGGAAGACACTCGGCTCCCAAGAGCACATGCTCTACCAGGGACCCGGAATTCCACCCTGAGGAGCTGGGATGGGTTGGGGTACGTGAATTTGGGTTCCAAACCTCCTCGTCCCTTGACAGAGTATAAACACAAAGGTCACCTTGGAGGAAGCTGCATTTGCAGGTGGAACTCTGTGTTGAAGGAGAACAGCACTACGACTCTGGCAGCCTGTGTATTTTGGCATTATTTCCTTAACAGCTGATGCAGATGAAGGTTCTCCAAAGGTAGATACTAACACCTAAAAGATAATTGATCACAAATAAAGGGGGAGTTTTTTCATGGCCAAAAGCACAGTAACTATAAAATAAAATCAAATTTTAATCCACTCACAATAATTGTCCTAAAAAATGTAGAGTGAAAGGTGGGGGGATGGGCCAGGTCCCCCTCAAAGTGATGGTAAGAATAGACTGATCACCCTGTCCAAATGATCACAGGATCTTGAAGGCCACAGAATCAACAATCCCAGAATCTACCTCTTTGGGTCACATGTGTTCAGCTAAAAATGAGTTAGAGGAGGAGGGAAGCATGACATTTCTTCTAGTACTGTCTCCAGAACTGGGCCAAGACCTGAGGTGTGAATTCTCAGCTCTCCCCGCTGAGAAGCAAACTTTTTGGGAAGAAGCAAGAGGTGTAGGTGGAATGAGCTCCTTGGGTTTGACCCTGTGAGTTTCTACCCTGTCCTGGTAGGTAGGGGTAGCATTTAATGTTACTCCATTTTCACAGCTGCCAACCGTCAGCCACACACTTCATTGTGCGTGCTCACATGCATCACTCTTTTTGATGCCCACCCTGAAACTGTGTGTATAGATATATTTAGACACACCTAAGAGTGAGGGATTCCCCTATCTGATCTTTTTGCTTCAAAGCATCTTTCTCTTTCTGAGAATGTGTGCTGTTCTCATATCTAACCCCATGCTGAGAAAAACACACCACAGGTCTGTGAACATGTGTAAATTCACCAAGAAATAATTCAAAACAAGAGAGCAATTGAAACTGCTGAATTAGCCAGGTGCAGTGGTGCATGCCTCTAATCCCAGCACTCTGAGAAGCTGAGGAAGGAGCACTGCAAGATCGAGCACAGCCTGGACAACTTACAGAGACCCTAACACGATATTAAAAATGTTAAAAAACTAGGAATTGTAGCTCAGTGCAAAGGCCCTAGGTTCAATCCCCAGTACTGCAAAAAGCAAACCAACAAAAAACAAGCAAGCAAACAAAAACCTGCAGTGTGATGCAGACTGGGTGAGATTTCTCTGTCCCCTGGGGTGAGTGCTATGTAACACCTCATCCACACACAGTGACCAAGTGGGGTGGTGGATCAATTTCTTGGGAAGTGGCATCAAATCTGGTGCATGACACCTAATAGCCTCTACTAGCAGCACCAGATTCTTGAATCATCAGAAGAGCAGGTTCAGATTCTGACCCACTAAGCCATCATAGGCATCTCTGAGGAGTAGGGTGTACCTGCAGGTCTCTATGGCTTCTGTTAGAGATGCTCCTGACTGTTCTAAGTGCTGGAGAGTGAGCACACCACAGGACTTTCACAGCCCCACAGGAGTTGTGTGTGTGTGTTGTCTCTGTATGTCTGTGTATATGTGTGATAGTGCTATGTAAGAAATACCCAAAGTTCTTGAAGTATACCACTTAGAATTTCACATAGCAAGTGCAGATGAGAAATGCTAGTGCTTCTCTTAACTCACCAGAAACTATCTGACTCACACCAGGAAGTGTACATGGCTCCACACATGAGTATCAGTTCCTGTGGTTTTATTGATAAGAGCTCTTCAGGTTCACATGCAAGAAATAGCACTGGGACAAAGCGGTAGAAACACTGGCCACACTCAGCCTCTGGGGCACATCTGTTAGTCACACATCCCAGCCATGGAGGCCAAATGTCCACTACAGTGGATAGGTCTCTCTGGCCTGATGAGGTATGAGGCGGGGGATGGTCCTGTTTGTCTAAAGCTGTCCTGCAGGATGAGGAACAGCTGAAATCCGAGCCAGTGTGGAATCAGCAAGATTCAAACTCAAGTCTTGCCCTCCCCTAGCCCCAGCCCCATGATCACAGCAGAGTTAGTGGCAGGATCAGTACTAGTATAGTGAGTTAGAATGGGGAACCCCTCACTGGTCACGTGAAACCGCAACCAGGGTATCGCCTGTGGCCATTAGACTTTGTTGGGTATCTTGGAAGATTGGGTGTAGAAACTGCAGTTTGTCTGCTGGGGTCCAGGAGAGCCTGGCCTAGCCAGGACTCACTGCACACTGCCATGGGGCTTGGAGCTGATGAAAGACAGCATCCCTCCCCAGGGGCAGCACCCCACCCAGCAGGCTGTCTTTGACACTATCTTAGAGAATACAAAGGACACACTGTACCAGCGCTTGTGCTCCACAGGTGGTGGGAAGCGATGTTGCAGGATTCTCTAAGGCTGCAGGACCCTGTGATCCCCAAGCCCTCAGCTCCTCCCGTAGTGCCAGGTTCTGCTTTGTCAAAGCATCTATCTGGTCCTGGAGTTTGCTATGAGCGACAGACCACTGAGTCGCTTGTCTGCTGAGCTCACCCCGAAGGTCAGAGACCTGGTGCTGTAATTCCTGCTGTGGGGAGAGAACACCGAGGACTTCAGAGCACTGCTAGGGTGATTCTGCACCACGTCCGAGACCTTTCCCACAGGAGACTTCCCACATGACATCAGAGGAGAAAATCAAAACCACAACTTCACCTGTTTTTACCAAGTGGTGTCCACTGTGAATTATTCCACACTATGTGACTGGTAAGGTCGTGGTTGAATTGTTATTATATGTTAATATAATGCTATAGCAAAAGAGACTAGAATTCTTTTCTCCTTAATCCTACCCTCATGGGGTCAGTGTGGCTGAAGTCAGGAAGTATGACAAATACTTTGGGATACCAGGTCATGCTTCCCCAAATGTGTCTCCTCGGCCTGAGGACTGTTGAGATGTGGTAAGTAAGCAGCAGCAGGTGCAGAAGAGCTCCCATCCCCTGTGCTGCCTGGAAGCAAGACACAGTGTCACAGGGACAGAGGCACTTGACCCCACTTGGGTTAACCACTGAAGACAGCTTCAGACCCTCTCCCTGGAGACGTTCAAAGGACAGACACGGACCAGCTCAACCAGAAGCCTTTTCTTGCCTTCCCATGAGTTGCTGCCTGCAGAGACTCATATTCCTTCTCTTGGTTCTATCAGTTCCCTAAAAATCCCTCCTCATACTGAAGATGGTACAGAAGCCAAGTTTAAAGCTACCTCTTTGAGAACCACTCATTTCCCGGGTATCTCCCATGTACTTGCGAAATAAGCATGTTCTTAAGTCTGTGTGTTTTTCTTGCTTGTCTGTCTGTTGTACAGGGGTCTGCTCCAACTATCAACCTATGATGCTTAAACACTGCTTTTTCTTTCCTTACAGAATTTTCCTTTCACAGAGATTATCTCCCAAAAGTAATTCAGCATCACACTGCAAATCAACTGAAAATTAAGGGGAAAATAACAGACAATTTCAGGAGAAATTAGCAAACATACTATTCTCCTAGTTAATTCCAGAAACAGTGGGAAAGTGATTGCATTTTAATTCTAAATTAAGTTTACTTTCTTCCTCATCCCCCTGAAACTGCCCTGGCGATACTAAATTTGTGAAGACTGGTGATGGGGAGCAGGATGGAATGGGGGTGCGACTGGTGACAAACCAGAGAATGAGGGGTCTCTGTCAGTCAAATCCCTGGTCATTTTTCCCACATGGAATCTTTTTTGTTATTATTTTATTTTGTGTTAACACGCTCTAACTGCACATATTAATGGGGCTCAGCATGGTATTTTCACACATGCATGCTTATTCCGCATCACAGGGGCAACTGGGATGCTTCCAATAAATGCAGAGAAAGCCCAGAAGCACAGCAGGGCCCTGAGGAGGGGCAAGTGAGATGTCCCTGGTCACCAGCAGAGGGGCACACTGCCCTTCCTGAACCAGGATGTATGTACTCTGTGAAACTCAGGGCAAGTTCTCACAAATCGTGGTAAACCTGCCACCAGCAGGCCAGTGACAGTGGAGCAGACAATACTCTATGGACTGGGAGCTGAAGTCTGACTTTACACAGCTGAGATACACAGGATGTGTGAAAAGTATAAAAAAAACATGCCCACCACATTCTCCTTTGTCTGAATCCTATTCACCTGGCATTCACCTTGAGACAAGCCCTGGCCTTCTGGTCTCCAGAGATGACTTTGTGCGATGACTCTGAGCCCTGTAGGGAGTGGTACTCTCCATCTGGAGCCTGTAGTTGAACTCTAGGAGCCTGAGCTGAAGCCCCGGCTGGGCTACCCTTTTGTTGCTTTCTGCTGTCGTTGGCTGACTCATTGTGGACTAAGCTTGCTGTCTACATCCCTTCTACTCCCCTCCAACTCTTGCTGTCTGTCACTGTGATCAGAAACTTAGAGCAACACATGGCACCCAGCAGCCCCCCACTGCGTGTACACTGTATATCTGAATCGCCCTGGTTTGGGTCAGCCTGAGAAGCCAGGCAGAGGTTGAAGCTGGGGTTGTGGAGGAGGAGGAGAACACATCTGAGCATTAGGAAGCCTCAATCACAGCAACAAACACAGGCTCCTCCTGGGCATATGCAGGGCCACATAATGGAGGAAGGCTGTACTGGGAACCGCCAGGGTGTCCACAAGGAAGCCCTCTTCCTGTCCTCCTGCTCCGGGCAGTCCATGACAGGCCTTGACATCTCTCCCCTTCTCTGTCCTTCCGGGCAGTCTGGAGCAGTGTTCTTACTGTGTGGAGAACACCATTCTCCCTGATCACACATTCCACCAAAAGCCACACACACAGGTCCCCTCCATCCCTGCAGGCCAAGTGGTTCATCTTACTGTGAGGGGCTCACCACAGAGACTATGGGGTCACAAACCTTGGATCCGTGACCTTAGCAAGGCATCCAACTTCTTTATGGGTAAGATAGGGAAGATGCAACCTCTTCCAAGTTGCTGGTACATGTAGCTGGTGAGGACATTGTCACATGTCTGCACAGGGCCTTGTGTGCATGGACACTGTGAGCATCACCTTTGTGGAGGTCAAGCCTCTGCATCACAGCAAAACCCTGGATGTGAACAGACATGCTTTTCTGGAGCCCTCCATTTGACTGCGTGGAGGCTGCAGCCTTGTTCCAAGAATAAACAGGGATCAAGGAGTGGCAAGGCAGGCCAAGGGGCTTCAGGGAAGCAAACACTCCAAGTGAGGCAGGGGCAGAAGCTCATAAAGATCTAAAAGTTGGCCCGAATGGTTCAAGCCATGCACACATTCTGGTTTTTGTATATTTGTTTCTGGTATTTTTTTAAAAACCAACCTTTTGAAGCCTCATGCCTTCTCCTGGATTACCAGCGAAAAACTGACATATTTATATTTTCTTTAACTCTTCACCCTGCCTCTTATCCCTCAGAAGAGAAAGTCACAGAGGGGAAAGAGACATATGCTCCTCCTAAGAGGAAATAAAATCCCGGCATGCAATGTAAATGCATTACTGAAATGGTACTGCAGGACAACCAAAGCAAGGGGAAATGCCAGTGTAGGGTCTCAGACTGGAAGCAGGGTCACCCCCTCAAGCCAACCTCCAGCACATGCACGCTGCACCTGGCTCGCCATGGCCTGCTCACCAGCATCTGCTCGGCCCTGCAGTCCTCACTGGAGACCCTGGCTGTGGTGTCCTCCGAGCTGGCCCTGGCTCCTGGGCTTGGGTCTTCTGCCTCCACTCCCTCCCTGGCCTCCTGGTGACTGGTCAGCATTCTGGTCAAGAAGGAGAAGAGTCAGAGAGCTCCTGCTCCTGGTGTTCCCACTTCTACCTTCTGTGGGGGCTGATGTCCTCCCCATGCTCCCACTGAGAGGGATGTAAGGAAACCCTCCACTGTGCCCACCACTACCCGACCGCATGCTCTGTGCCCGGCCTGCGACTGACAAAACAGAAAGACACTGCAGAGCAGAAGGGGCCGAGCTGCTCCTGAGTGGCCTGCCCTCAATATGAGTAGAAAGTGCTTACATCCACAGAAAGCCAGTGTGACCTCTGTCTGAGTACTCTTTTAGGTGTCAGCAGTGGTCTCAAGGGAACACTGAGGAATCCTCTGCTCCATCATCAGGCCCCCACCTGGGAGAGACCCAGATGGGCAGTGTGGAGCCACCTGCTGGAGTCATGACGAGGTCCCCACAGAAGACCTCTGTGTCCCGTGAAGGTAAAAGGAACATGCCCTTCCGCAGCAACAGTGCCAGCCATGCACAGGGCACACACACCACTTCAAATGAGAAACAAGGCCAGGAATGGTGGCACACGCCTGTAATCCCAGCCCTCTGGGAGACTGAGGCAAAAGGATCAAAGATTAGAGCCCAGCCTCTGCAATTTAGACCCTATCTCAAAATAAAAATTTAAAATTTAAAATTAAGGGACTGAAGATGTATGTTAGTGCAAAGGCTGTGGGTCTGACCACAAAAGAAAAGGAAGTAGAAAAGACAGATACCTCCTCCCCTAAATCCAGCTCAGCCTGTTCCTCTCCACTCACCTCCTTGGGGACCACCAGTGGGGACCACTGTGGGAAGGATGGAGGGCAATGGAAGGGGGCTGAAGTAACTCTCACCAGGCAGAGCCTTCAGAAATCTTGGGAATTTAGAAGAGGGTCTTGATCTCAAACTGTTACAACATCTTTCCTATTTCTAAATGGAAATGTTCTTTATTTATATATTGAGTTTCTCATATAAATAAAGAACAAGGTAAAGGACAGATAACGGGAAGCAGGGAGATAGATCATTTTCAAATGGGAAGGGACTAAAGAGATGGATGGGGAAGGAAAGGGAAAGGTAATGAAAAAAGAGATGTGAAACTCCCTACAAGGATCATAACCATTATATACTACACCCACGTATTAATGAAAATTAGTGCAAAAAAGGTAATAAAGTAAAAAACCAGAAATGCTTCTACATATAAACTTCAGAGCATGTATAAAGAAAAGAATAAACAGTTTAACCACAGTCAGGGAAGGGGCTTGTTTCCTAAGGAGAGCAACTTGCAGCCTGCTCATGCTTTACGCTGGACACCCTCCTAGGTGGCCTCACCTGGGTGTCCTGCAGGCATGGTGGACTCGTCTCTTCCCTGCAGGAGCTCAGTGTTCTCAGTGCCACACACCTGAGCCCCTCTGTCCAGAGAAGACCTTCCCTTGGCCTGGGCTGCCTCACTAGTCCATGATGGTGCCTTCTGCCAGAACACAGTTCATCTCTGCAGAGCCTCAGCACCTGCTCCTGAGTCCCTCACCTCACATCTCTGGAACCCCTTTATTGATTCTAAACCGACTCCTTGTCTTAAAGGGCCATACTTCCTCATACAGCTTTTTGGTGTTGTAAGCATAAATGATACTTTGACATCTGTGATTCAGATTCAGTAAGCTCATGATCAGTGGACTAGGCCTATCCACAGAGAGAATTGGAGAAAGTCTAATTTTTGCTCCATATTTATGGGTGAAAATGTATTTAACATCATTTCCAGTGTGCAATATGTTGTAAGAAGTCACTTCTCTTAGTGCAGATTCATACATAAACTTTCTCTGGATGTCGAAACAAATTGTTTACTAGAAAAGATGTTTATGATCTATGCAAGTTTTAATAGAAAACAAGATCCAAAATTTCCTCCTTTTGCAGAACACATCTCCATCCTGCTGGCCATATGAGTTTGTGACATGAATAAATGCTGGGTGTTGATCTCATTACAGCTCTGTAGATGAAATAACTAACTACCCAAAGAGCAAATATGAGGAAACTGCTCCTGAGTGCATGACAGAAGTGACTCTTGGTCACTGTGGTCCTTAGGACAAAAATCTTAGCTGCTTTAGGAACAGGATGTGCTCCTCCTGTTTGAGAACTGACTCCTGTCCTCCTCCCATGGTCTCAAGTTCAAGTTCTGTTTGTTCCAACCCCACTAGCCAGCAAAGGCCAAATACCCAGCTTTTTGGTGTTGTAAGCATAAATCCACTCCTGGGAGGATTAATTTAATACCTTACTTGGAGAAATCCTTGAGTGGTTCTACTCTTCTTGAGTACTCCCCTCCTTTCTTCTGATAACTAAATAAACATGGGCCACCCAGAGAAGGTCTTGGTTTTATCCCTGAGAGAATCTCAAATTCTGTGAGAGGGCTTTGCTCCTCCTGAAGCCCTAAAATCATTCCATTTGCTTCTTTTATTTAGCCTTCACTATACACTTGTTCAGGTCTCCTGCAGGATGGCCAGAATGTTGGACAGAATCATGGACTGGAGCATTAGAGCCTGAGGAGACTCCACATCAGGGCAGCTCACTCCTTCCTTGCAATGGATGGAGGTGCAGCCTGTCTGCTTCAACCCTCACCCTGCCATGAGCACAACTGACAGAGACTCCCATAGGTGCCACAGCAGCTTCAGGCATCAGATCCTGCATGGGGCACATGTCAGTGGCCATCTGTAAGTGATGAGGTGTGAGCAGTGATGGTGTCGTTGTGAGTGGAGGAGGTGCTACAGTGCCTTTCCTGGCTTCACACACTACTGTGGGTTGAATTAGTCTGAATGCACTCTGATGGAAACCACAGTGTAACTTCCATTATCTTCTGAAATTGGAGGCCAACTCCAAGATGGGCTGTTTGGGTGGTAATGGATATGCTTTTTAAAATAATAAGTGTCCATTTTAAAGGAATACTTCTGAGATGATATCTACCTTGACAAAGGAAATAAAAATTTCTAAATGTCACTTCTGCAAAAAGCAGTATGATCTGGGGTCACTGGAAAAAAATTATATTGCAATCCATCCAATTCAAGGCACTGAGTAAATCAGTAGACTGATGAAGACCACAACAAAGCAGCCCTGAGCAGGACTTAAATTAGCCAATGGGTTTTTCATATTATTTGTGAGTCTGTCCAAAGCCTAGGCCACTTGTCTGGAAATGGGCAGTGGACTCATAGTAAGTGAACCTCTGTGAGTCACTGATCCCTACCGAGGCCTGTAATGGTGGATGAAGCTGAAAAGTCTCAAAAGATAAGAAAAAACCACAGCCAAGGATACCTGGATCCAACCTCAACTAGATAAAGCCTATAGCCTCAGGCATCTCATTCTTGGATGGATTAACTTAATACCTTACTTGGAGAAGTCCTTGAGTTTTTCTGCCCTTCTTGAGTACTCCCCTCCCTTCTGATAACTAAATAAACATGGACCATCCAGAGAAGGTCTTGGTTTTATCCCTGAGAGAATCTCAAATTCTGTGATAGGACTTTGCTCCTCCTGGAGCCCTGAAATCATTCCATTTGCTTCTTCTATTTAGCCTTCACTATACACTTGTTCAGAAGATTGTGGAACTGATCACCCCATGTTAACTAAGGGATATTATTAACCCAATAACTGGCACCTGAATAGGGATGTATAGTCTTTAGACTGAAAATTTTTAGCCTGAAAGATTAAGTCTACCTAGAGTGGAAAGTGTGGGAGATGGAGAGGGCCTTCACAGGCCAAAAACATTGCCAGGAATGCCTGAAGAAAGGAGGAAAGAAAAGCATTCTAGAAGAAATAGGGGTAAGTCTTCCCCTTTTCAAAAAGCCATTTTTATCCAGAAGTAAAATAGACCGAAAAATTTCAACTTAGGAGCAAAGATACATAAAACTGCTCCAAGATTTGCTTAAACACTCAGGGACTTATAGTAACACAATTTGTAATTGCTAAATTGTGGAAGCAACCCAAATGTCCATCTACTGAGGATTGGATAAGAAAATTGTGGTAATTTTATATAATGAAATATTACTCAGCTATAAAGAAAGATAAACTTGAGGCTTTTATAGG